GGGAGGTTATACTTTCAAAGGTTGACTTCCTATTAACAACATCAGGTTTGAATCCCTTTATCATTTCTTCAGCCCCCTCCAAAGTCTTCTGTAGAATTTGTTGTCACTAAGGTCACAACTAATGAAACGGTTTTCTGGAACAGGTGAGAGAATCTGTTGGTGTCACCCTCTCTGTTTTGTGCTCAAACATTCGGCTTCAGGTGTCCCATAATCAAGTTCATCCACAAGAAGTAGGGACAAGTAATGTGCACAGGAAAGTAGAAGCAGGGAATTGGGATCATTATCTAGTAGAACGAGCGTCTGAGCTTGTGGTGAAGATCCAAAGTTTTAGCCAGTCAGACACTCTTGATGTCCAAACGGACAGAATTTCTGACAGTGGAGTATCAAGCGAACAGTCTCATGATGATGTTAAATGGATGGAGACGGTACAGTCAGCCAAAAGCATCTACTATAATTTTTGCTCCTCAGACCTTTTATTAATTAGCTTGTATTTGTGATGTGCAGCTATTTCATTTCATTATCTCATCTCTGAAGTCTGGAAGATCCTCGGTTCTGCTGGATGTTGTTGTTGGTCTTTTGTATCCCGTAATATCACTACAAGTAAGTAAGGTGTGCAATGTTGCACCATTTCTGATGCTTGTCTTTTTTTGTTTTTTTTTTTTAAAACATTTTGAATGGATGAAATTGCTGTTTGAAGAACGTAACAGATACACACTTCCCCTCCATTTACTGATGAAAATGGTAAAACCTGTATCTGAGATATCTTGGAGAAAAGAAAACTTGGATTTTTGTTTTTGGTGAAAACTGATGGAAAGCATCTTGTTAATCTCGTTTTTAAGAGGTTAGGCTTGATTTTTCTATTTTTTCTTGGCTTTAAAAACTGCTATATTTTGCAGTTCCCCTCCCATTTGACTGGTTGATCTTTTTCTTGGTTGATCTTTTTCTTTCTTTTACCAACTACATATGTATACTGTTGGAACTGGAAGGATGCTTTGCTTGGCGTCGAGGATGGAAAAAGCTATGAAGGCAGATCTTATTGGAAATAAATGATTGGGTTTAGTTGTTTCGGAGTTGAAAGATAAGAGGACCTACTTTGATCCAAATTAATAGGCTGAAGACGCTGAAATATTACATTTTCTTCTTCCTTCTCATCATGGCCCCCAAGATAGCTTTTTTGGAGTTACTGTTTCTACAAAATCTAGATGGTTCAAGCTTTTCCAAATGAGCAGTATTAAGTGAGACCTGAGCAAATAACTTAAAATCTTCTCTCTTTAAGGGCTTAAGATTCTAGATGAGGTGGCACCAAAAAAATCAATGTGGTATCAAATTTCAATAATTCAATTCTAGTTGCCCTTCATCATCCTCACATGCCTAAAAGAGTCCAGCCTTTCATATTAGTGGTACTGGCGAACTGTTTAAACAGATAAATCTGTCAGGTTTAACAGCTTAAGCTTTTAGAGAAGGTATAGCCACATTATTTATCAATATAAAAACTAGGCAAAATGGCCTCATGGCCACTTAAACTTGCACCGGATTGCCAACCCGGTAAATGAACTTAGGAATTTCCCAGTTTAGCACCTTTACTTTATTGAATAAGGACTAATAAACACATCCGTCTGAGCGTGTTCCTCAATCGCTATGACATAAATGACATATCATATGCTTAACCTTTTATAATTTGACATGTGTAATTTGCAGGTCCCACTTTTTTAATTTCAATTTATCAAAATTTTAACTTAATTTTTGTTCTTTCTCTTCTCCTCCACTACAACTTAGACCAGCGAGAAACTCATAAACTTGCAAAAAACTAAATTTGGCTGGAGAATTCGCTGGTAATGTCTCTGGCTGGCGATGAATAGTTCGCTCTCCGTGTTTGTCTATTTTGTTAATTTCTAGTCACCATCTCCGCGCAAACACCTTTTTCCATTTAATTTCAACAACCTTAATCACCATCTCCATCGAAACCCTCCTTCCCACCAAGCCCATTGGCATAGAGCAAACAGATCAGAAATGGCATTTCAACCCCGTCGTTAATTTTTTTCTTAAAAAAAGGAAAAGAGAGGAGCATTGACCAGATTGGGAAGCTAGCTTCTAATAGTGACCATATCGGAAAGCCTGATGTGAAGAACATACTCCAAAAAGAAATACTCCAAACACTTAATGTGAAGAACAAAGCCTTCTTTTTCGCCAGAACTTCATAAAAAAATCAACATCCCTATCGAAATAATGACCAGATCGGAGAAATTGATGTGATTTTCTTCTGCCAAAATTTGTGTTGTGGGTTAGCTTCTCCTCTCTAGATCCTTATACTCAAAAAAAAGAAGCTCTATTTCCTTTTCAATTAAAGGTTAATACCGAAAAGAATGAGAAGGGGTGGGGAGGAAAGATTTGGGTGATGATGGGATACAAAAAAAAAAAAAGGGAGAAGGGGTGGGAACGAAGGAGGTGGGAGGAAGAACGGGGAAAAAGGGTGCCTATTTATTCTTTTTATCTTTTGTTATATATTAATAGATTTTTATTTATTTAATATTTTTTTTAATCCAAACTACTACATTCACGCGCTATTTAAGTGTGATTTGCACGCAGTTTCGCCATGTCAGCAATGTTTCCTCGACGTAAGCATGATCAACGGTCAGAGGTGTTTATTAGTACTCACTCCGTCAAGTACAAGTGTTCAAATGGAAAACTTATAAGTTTATCTACCGGGCTGACAAATGGGTACAAGTTTAAGTGGCCCGGAGGCCATTTTGCCTAAAAACTATTGCGCATAAACTTCTCCCTGTCGAGTTTTGCTTCTAATTCTCTCAGATGCTCTACTTCATTATCTTTTGCTACTGACCTTGAGCTTGTATCCTATTAAAGTAGGAGAATTGCAAGTCTCTTCTTCCTTCATGTTTTGGTGATATTTCCGCTGTATACATCATCCAGACCATGTAAAATCTTGCACGTGTAGTTCTCTTAATTCGTTCTTCCAGTTTCTAGTCTTTGATTTATAACTACATATAAAGTAGGTGCTAGTTGAAATGGAGTGTTGTTCAAACAAATGATACTGAAAATTCAAATACTTGATATTTTTGCAGCTGTTACACACGTGAAGAATTGATACATAAGTAAGTGCATTCCTCTTATGTGATACTGTTGATTTCTTGTAGGAGACATCAAACAAAGATTTGTCGACCCTGGCCAAAGCAGCTTTTGAATTGCTAAAGTGGAGAGTTTTCTTGGAGCCCCATTTAAAGAAAGTTATACTCACGATTCTTTCTTTAGCCAATGATGCCAATTGGCGCACAAGATCTACAACTCTGACTTATTTGCGGAGTTTCATGTATAGGTATGATCTTTTCATTTTGATCTTCATGCTCCTTTTCCCCTCCGTTGAAAAATTTCCTTATTTTGGTTCTTGAAGAGAAAATGAGGTATTTTTGAAAGAGAAAATTGAATCACTTTGAATTGAATCATCATCATTTTTACTTCAACCTCAATCTTCAAGTATAACTCACTGTCTTGTTCCGGTGGTCTACTTTAGCCAAATAATGCAAAAAGGCAACTTGTAATGTCCTGAGAAATGAAGTGCTCTATTGTTGCATCATACAGGCACACTTTCATCCTCTCTAAGGTGGACAAAGAACAGATTTGGCGAACTGTCGAGAAGCTACTCACAGATAATCAAGTTGAGGTTAGTTTTTGACTAGAGTACATAAATTTTAACTGACATATTTGAGGTATCAACTACGTAAATCATTTGAATTTTGTGCATTATCATTTGATGTCTAGGTTTGAGAAAGTAAGTAATCTCTCTGATGCTCTTTGCATGTTTTGTGCAGTGGTTGGTTTGGAACAAATGCATTATTTTCTTAAATTTAGTGGGTCATGTTTTATTACATATAATAGAAAAGGATAGAATGCAATTTTCCTCTGTCTATCCTATCATATCCGGCTAAAGGTAGGCATGGCCCCCGTGGAGGACAAAATGAGGGAAGCGAGACTGAGATGGTTCGGCTATGTGCAGAGGAGAAGCTCAGATGTCCCATTAAGGAGGTGCGAGCGGTTTTGGTGGGTATGAGAAGAGGTAGAGGGAGGTCTAAGAAGTATTGGGGAGAGGTGGTCAGGCAGGACATGGCGCCGTTGCAACTTACCTATGACATGGCCCTTGATAGGAGGGTGTGGAGGTCAAGAATTAGGGTAAAAAGTTAGTGGGTAGTCGAGCGTATCTCTGATACGGACAAAGGGTATTAGGGTTAATATGGTAGTTTTTTTACCTTAGATTGCTAGTATTTCATGGTTTTTTCATATTTTCTTCCGCTTCGATCTCCTAGTACCCTGTTGTTGTTACAGCTTGCTATTGCTACCGCTTCTTTTCATCTACTTCTGACTTTGTGATTGTTGTTACTATTTTTTTGGCTTATTTGTTGATATTACTTGTTTCCACTCTTTCTTTTCTCTTTCTTGAGCTGAGGGTCTATCGGAAACAACCTCTCTACCTTCCCAGAATAGGGGTAAGGTCTGCGTACACACTACCCTCCCCAGACCCCACTTGTTGTTGTTGTTGTTGTCTATCCTATTATATGTTTGATGCACCAAAGGGCAACCTTTTTTCAAAGATCACCCTTGGTTATCGTATTTCTTATCTGATTCTATATGGTATTACAGAACACATCAATTTCTTGTAGGGTCGTCCCTCTTCTATTGCTGTAGCCTGAAGGTGTCTCGCATGCGTAAATTGGTACCATGAGCTTCTCTAAATATTGTTGGTCCAGCTCCGGTTGCCTGGTGATGAGACAGTTAGGATACTGTTGCATCAGGGGAGGCAATAATTTATGTAATGATGATATAGGTGATAGATGTTATGTGTTTGATTATAGTCCTTTTCAACCATTCATGTTCAGGTCAAGTGAGATTATCATCATTTAAGGTTATTGGTGTTTGAAAGCTCTTTTTATGTAGCTTGAATTATGATTGATTATTGCCGCCCCATTCCACGTAGGATAGGTTAGACTTGTTTGAATGGTATATAAAGCTTCATGCTCTCACTACTAAGAACTTGCGCCTTGACTTCTTAGTCAAATAATAATGAACCTAGCCGCTAAGGATAATCTCGATGAGTTGTTTGTCCTTGAGGTTTGACTTGATGCATTACAAAATAGGACCAAGCTCAGGGGAAACCAGCCAGAGGTGTGGGAACTAACTGCCATACCAGATCAAGCATTACATCACATAAGTGGTGAGCCATCTCTAGAACCGCTTGCTGGTCCCTGGCTGTGCCTAATTGAACATCAGGACTTCAACCAGTAGAGAATATGATATCACGTCCCACATCAAATAAGAAACACTTATGTAATGTAAGGCATGCTTTCTGTGTGTAGAAGTTGGGCCTGCTCTACGTGCTTCTTTGTTGTTAAGATGAATTATGTGTAAGTGGTAAGTGCATTATTTCTTGAGAAACAAGACATTTGCATTTTAAGTAGTCTTGTTTTATCGTCTTTTATAATTAAAATAGCTTTAGTTTTCCCTGATTACATAAATATGGAGAATGTGTTGTGTAAACAAATTCACTTGGATCCTTTTGAACATTCTTGTCAGGTGAGAGAGCATGCAGCAGCAGTTTTGGCTGGGCTAATGAAGGGTGGGGATGAAGATTTGGCCCAGGATTTTCGTCATAGAGCTTATGTAGAAGCAAGTATCATTCAGAAGAAGAGGAAACAAAGGTTCTTTTCTTGTTTTAGTTTTACTCAATTTTGCCTAGTTATAATTACTACGTTCTTTTCATTTTGTTTGGTTATCTCTGATGATCATCCTAGAGAGATCAAGCCTATCTGTATATGCTCATCACTGATGATCATCCTGAGAGGTCAAGCCTATCTGTATATGCTTACACCATTCGCCTGGCATGGGCTTGCTAAGTCATTACTGATGATCACCCTAGAGAGATCAAGCCTATCTGTATATGCTAATACCATGCACCTGGCACGGTCTTGTTAATCATTACTGATGATCACCCTAGAGAGATCAAGCCTATATGGGGTTGTTGGTCAAGGGACATATATATAATGATTAAGAAATGTATACACTTGACCGACAACTTTATATTGGTAAATGGTTTTAGTATACAGAATGTTTTGATCCTAAGAGATGACTTAACAAGTGAAATAGCATAATGATGATCAGATAGGCCAGCATGGCCTACTCTACATGAGTAATAGTCACGTTAGTGCACATATTTGATCTTGAATTTTAGTGGCCTTGTCGTATCTTGTTCTCCGTTTCTCAGTTGCACGATATACATGTTTCCACTTCTTTTTTCTTAGCACTACAAATTCAAGGAATGCAAATAGTTAGAAATAGGAATTTAAAAATAATTTAGAAGTTAACAAGCTAAGCAGGATTTAGAACTTTCAAAGAAGTCAAGCTACACATTAGGTAAGAAACTAAACCCGTAGCAATAATATAATGGACAACCTAAATCATACACTAGTATTAAGGAAATTACTCTGCTAAACATACCGTAATTAGGGAAAAAGAGTCTACATGTAGAAGCTAGATACTTTAGTCTTTCAAGGGTCCTTACATGTTAATCATCCAATAGTTAGAAAATATTACAAGACATTTGGTATTTTATAGGGCCCCAAAATTAAAGTAGGCCAAAAACAAAAAGACCCCAAAATGGGAAATCCATCCCGAAACAGTCATGCTACGAGCATTGAGGGTGGATTGCAATTGCAACACTGTCTTTTGAGTTGCTTAGGTTCCTTTAGGTTGTGATCATGTGTTGCGATTGCAACTTGATTTAATTGGCTGGTCTTTCAGGTGCTATTATACTGCGATCGTAACTCTTCTTGTGAGCCATCTTGACAGCATTCTGTTTAGCCTATCCATTTGTTCTACAACACGGATCCCTCTAGTGCGATTGCATGTATTCATGTTAGTCTCATAGTGGTCTCCAATCTGCTCCTTTGGCCTCTCCAAGCTCCGGGTTGGCTTTGTGTATGCCCAAGGCTCTCATCTTGGGCTCTGGATGTATCTCAAGTCAATGAATTGGCCTTGCTTTTTCTTGAGGAACTAATGTGGATCCTTCTCGGGTGCTCTGTTTTTCCTTGAAGATTTGTAGCCTCATAGCTTGAGATATTGTTAACGGCTTCTTTGGAGTAAGGTCCTCTCCGCGGGGTTTGCATGTGGATCGCCATCAGCCCCTCTCTCTTCAAATAGATTTGTCCTTCATTGCCTTTATCAAGAAGTGTTAAAGTCAGAAATATTAAAAGAAACACTAACCCCATACTCACCCTGTTAGTCAAGCTTATAACCATTGCCATTGATCTGCTCCAACACTTGAAAAGGTCCATCACTTCTCTGGCCGATCTTTGCCCTTCTTGAAGGAAACTTCTTCTTCGTCCAATGAATCCACACTCCTCAAGCACCCGGTTGAAAGATCATTTGCTTCCTTGATTGGTTCGTCTTGGAAGTATACTCCTTGGTTCTTCATTTCAAGGTGCGCCCTAGGTTTGTCATGTAGCCTTTTCATCACTTCGTCTTTTTCTTACCATCAACACTCAAGATCTTTTAGTAGGAATATGAAGTAAATCAAGAGGGGACACAGGGGATTAAAACCATAAACAAGTTCAAAAGGGGTAAAAAGAGGTAGACACATGCATTGGCCTATTAATAAAATGAGATGTTCGGTCCTTTGCATCGGGTGAAGGTAGAATTACTGCTTCATTGGTTTGAACCACATTTTTTAGCCATTTTCTCTCTCTCTCTCTCTCTGTTTCATTTTTTGGGTTCAAGTAATTGAACAGAAGAGAAGGACTGGAGAGCAACCAAGGTCTAGTGGTCAATGCAGTGGCTTTAGAACCATGAGTCTCAGGTTCAAATCCAAACGGAGGCAAAATTCCATCTTTCCAATTTTTGATGGATAGAGTTACTCGATATATGTGTTGTGGGAGGTAGCAGGTATTTTGTAGAATTAGTCCAGATGTGCGTAAGCTGGTGCACACACCACAATTATAAAAAAAAGAAAAGAGAAGGAATAAGTGATTCAAGCAAAAAAAAGAAGGGGAAAGTCAGATTGCACTAGAATTTTAGATTCAAGGTTTGGACAAGACATAGTGAAGGAAGAAACATGCATTTGAGTGGGGGAAAAAATTAAGTTTAGAGGAGATAGTATAAGGTTGGAATGAAGTTATAGGTGTGGGCTATGCGATATTGGCGAAGGAGGATCCCGAAAAAGACGCACATGTCGGAGTTGCGTGCCACCCCAAGAGGCTGTGGTGGTGTGTATGTTTTACGGGTGCAAATTTCGATAGTGGGCTTCTAGAAGCTGGAGCATCCCTGAGCTGTTTCTGGCAACTGGAGATCTTTTTCTCGGTACTTTTTAGGGATTTCTCTTTTCTTCTTTTTTCTCAAGCAGAAAAGGGAGAAAGGATATTAAAAGAAGGAAGAAAGGATTTCTTTTTGGATTGGAGATTCAAACCCTTGGCTGTGATACCATGTAAAGAAAAGAGAAGAAATGTTGAAGAATGAATTGCTTGATTATTCCCTCAAACATGTTGGGGTTTAATGGTGTTCACAACTAATCCTAAAATGGAAAAGAAAGTAATTCCTATTCATAATTACACAATCATGGGGATTCTAAATCTTTCCCATCTTTACAAGGAATGTGCTCTTGTCAAATTCTTAACAGTTACGATCTACAATCTTCTAAATCAATGGTGGTATCGGGAAAGCTAGCATGTATATAATGTATACATAAGCAGTCCTTAGTAGATCATCATCCTGCTAATGTATTTGTTTCAAGATCAATGTTGGATGCTTTTATGCTCCTATTTTGGGTCTTGGCCTAATTTTTTGCTGGCAATCATAGTGATAATGATATATGCATGCACTTGAGGAAATGAAGATGTAAATGTTTGTGGTTGTTGAACAGAACTCATGATGATCCTACAATTTGTCTGTTTTTTTTTGGCTTATTCATCACTCTCATTTAGCTGCTTGGGGTGCTGACAATTTGCACTTGTGCGTTTTGACAATATGGTGTGTGGTTACATCCTTAGAGAAGTAGGGTGCCGGAGGGAGAGAAATTTGATGCTTATGTGTTCTGTGGGTGAATGTGTTGCATGCTTCTAGTATTCCTGATGACTGATATATGCCCTTATCCATTCAAATTTGCAATTGCAGAAGCATGCGTTCTGGACTATCCGCAGCATCCCTACATGGACGGATACTTGCTTTGGCGGCTTGTGTGCTATCAGTTCCTTATGATATTCCCAGGCATGTCCATTATCTAGTATAGTTTCATATATTCGAAGATATATTTCACTATCAGTTCCTTCTGATATTCTCAGGCACATCCATTATATAACACATATTTTCATATGTTTGAAGATATATTTCACTAAGTGTTATCTTAGGAAGTTCCGGTTGTATGGATTACTCGAGGGAAATTTTACTCATTAGTGACAAATTGTCAACTTTTATTGCAGTTGGTTGCCAGAACACGTTACATTATTGGCTCAATTTGTATCTGAACCATCACCTTTAAAATCTACCGTGACAAAAGCTGTGGCAGAGTTTCGGCGCACTCATGCGGACACATGGAATGTTCAGAAAGATTCTTTTACTGAAGAACAACTTGAGGTATGTTTACGCATACATTTATTGTCATTTTTGTACATTTAGCAGATGTATGGGTTCCGAATTAGGTGATATATATGTGTGTGTGTGTGTTCATAGTATATACCCGAGTAAAAACCTATATTCAAACAAAAAGAGTTTGACATGTATATATATGGTCCGACTTGATAGCACTGAGTGTAGTTGTACTCACCCAGTTCTAGTTACTTAGATCCTTCTATGCACAGTCTTTTTGCCGTCCAAGGTTTAGAGTTGACATGGACAATTAATCCCTTCGAAAGTTTATCTACGAATGGAAGGTACTAAAAGTTTTCTTGTAATTAAAACCTTGTTAGACTTAGACATGAGCTTCTCTTCTTTTGGGGGGGGGGGGGGGGGGGGGGGGGGGTTAACGGTTGTAATTAATTATAATTTATGGGTTAGCTTTTAATAAAAATTAAAGTAGAGGCTCTTCTAAAACTTTCTGTAAATTCACCTTGAAAGTCCGTAATATATATACTTGTTAATAGAGTTTAATCTGAGTTAAATAGTTTAAAACAGTATTTGATTGTCCTCGGATTGTTTTTAACTTTTTTATTCATGTGTAACTACTTTGAGAATATTGTATTATCTAAGTTATGTGTATCTTGAGAATCTATTACAATGACATGGTTGAGATCTTATTGCCAAAAGGCTCTATATTGAATTCCATCCAAAAATAATTACTTGTTGAATGTGAAAATGAAGTATTTTTTTAAGTTTTAAATAGAAGACTTCCATTTTTTATATTTCAAATCCTAGTTCCAGACGGGGATCAGATTTATCAGTACAGCTAGTACTTAAATAATTTTAAACAAGCCACCCTTGTAATTGATGTAATAGCTGCTTTCTTAGCTAACAAGATCGTTTGCGACTTCTTGCAGGTTCTGGCTGATACATCATCGTCCTCATCATACTTTGCCTGACATACATGGTTTGCCTTACATGAGAGATAGAATAAAGATAAAACAACGAGAATAATAGGCGTTTTTCTTTTGAGTTTGACCATTAATGAAATTATATTCTCTTTTTATTTTTTGTTTCATTGTTCTTCTGATAATGATGACATTTTTGACTCAGCCTCTTTACATATTAAAAAAATCTAATCTTCAGATGATATTCTCCCACAGAACACAATCTGAATTGAAAATCTTTGATCCATTCCTTATTTCTTTCCATCATCTGAATCCTCACGGTTTTCATGATCAAGTTTCTTGTGCAAGTGACCGCCTGTGCTTTGGGTACACAATTCCCCTCTTCATGAATCAGAGATTTGAAGGTTGTGGTGAAATCCTGCAAACTGATATGAGAAAACTACTGCTTATGCATAACTGGGTCATTTCCCATCTCTAATAGCTTGTTTTTTTACCAGCATGCTTAGGAATGAGATGCCAGTTAAGAGGAGGGTTTGTGGTCTTCCATAGGTGTCCACTGCCCCCTCTTGACGATATCTTTTCCACAGCATGGGATCCTATCCATCTTGTCAAATCGAGTGCA